TCTCGTTAAGGTCCGATCCTAGCTGTACTCCACACAGAAACGCCAACTGACCTGAGGTTTGAACCAGCGACCCAGCTTGTCCAGTTATGTTAAAAAATAATGATTATTGCCATCTCCATTGACATCTGTATTTTACAAGCTTTAAATGGGATGTTTTCCTTGTAGTTCTGTGTATTTGAATGTCTGAAACCAAAAATAAATGTTATTTGTTTGAATGCATGGATAAATTGTAAATTATGACCTGCGCTGCACACCTTTTTCTGTGCCTCAGCACAATCTATTAGATTTGAATGAGAGCAGTTGATGACATGTACTCTGAATGTTCTAATCACACCGGTGTGATCGTACATGTAAAAGGGTTAAACATTTTAAAATGTAGGATTTTAATGAAATATTGGGTTTTAATCAAAATACTGAACATACAATTTTTCCTTGATGGGTAAGTTTTGCCAAGTCCAAGCCAACATTTGGTGATTTACCTCAATGCATAGAGATAGAAAACTGGGTAAAACAGGAACACTGGAAGTATTTCTTTAAGATTTTTTTGACCGTTATATTTATCCAAGTGCAAGCTTCAATTCAAGCATTTACCAAAAATACATGATGAAGGAATTAGATCAGTGGTTCTCAAACTTTTTTCATCAAGTACCACCTTAGCAAAAAATTGTCTCTCCAAGTACCACCAAAATGAGCAGTATTGAAATACAGTAGCGTAGTAGGCCCAGTAAAGCAGCTACAGCTCTGCACAGTTAAAAAACCTGGCAGATTACCTCAGAAATATAGCCTATATATAATATATGGCATATTATATACATCATTTTTAATAAATTTTAAATTATTTGTATAGCATGTACATGAGATATTTCAGTCCTCCGTGTACCACTAGAAGGAAGCCCGCGTACCACTTGTGGTACACGTACCACAGTTTGAGAACCACTGAATTAGATAATATGTTTGAGTTTTAATTAAGACTAAGAGTTTCATCTTGACGGGTATGTTTTTTTTGCCAGGGGCAAAGCTTAAGTTCAGACACTTGCCAAAACACATAAAACCAACAACTAGTTAGGATAAACACTGGAAATTATTTTACAAGATGAAGGAATTAGATTTAATGTTCTGATTCAGATTGGGATGCCAAACTTTTTTTTTTTTAACTTCCATTAAATTCCTTTAAATTCCAGTTTTTACCAAGAACATGACAACAATCAATGAGCAAAAATTCACAGAGACAACACTTTGAACTAAAACAAGGCTGCTTCGGTTTCAATTGAGACGCACAACTCCTTCAAGTCTGCACTGAAATGTGAAAAATATGTACATTGGAGCATCTGAAAATCTGAATTGATCAGCTGTCAATGTATTGACACACCATTCAAACACTGACATATATTTTAGACAGTTCAGTCGATGTGGACTTTTCTGTCTCTTCAAAGTAGTGTTTCTAAAATTTATGACAAGCACTCTTTAAATACACTCACCGGCCACTTTATTAGTTATACCTGTCCAACTGCTTGTTAACGCAAATTTCTAATTAGCCAATCATATGGCAGCAACTCAGTGCATTTAGGCATTTAGACAAGACAATCTGCTGCAGTTCAAACCGAGCATCAGAATGAGGAAGAAGGTGATTTAAGTGACTTTGATTGTGGCATGGTTGCTAGTGCCAGACGCCCTGGTCTGAGTGTTTTATTAGCATAATCGAGGTATGCAGAAGAGCATTTCTGTACACACAACATGTCGAACCTTGAGGCGGATGGGCTACAGCAGAAGACCACACTAGGTGCCACTCCTGTGGAAACTGGAGCTACAATTTGGACCAAAATTTGGGCAATAGATTGGAAAAATGTTGCCTAGTGCGATGAGTCTTGATTTCTGCTGCAACTTTTGGATAGTAGGGTCAGAATTTGCATCAACCTCATGAAAGCATGGTTCCATCCTACCTTTTATCAACGGTTCAGGTTGGTGGTGGTGGTGTAAAGGTGTGGAGGATATTTTCTTGACAGAATTAAGCCTGATGCAGCTTGAACCAGAAGTATAAACCAGGCTTTAGTACTAATTGAGCATTGTGTCAACAGCACAGCCTACCTAAGTATTGTTGCTGACCATGTCAATTACTTTATGACTACAGTCTAATGGCTACTTCCAGCAGGATAACATGCCATGTCAATGCACAAATCATCTCAGACTGGTTTCTTGATCATGACAACGAGTTCACTGTACTCAAATGTCCACCACAGTCACCAGATCTCAATCCAATAGAGCACCTTTGGGATGTGGTGGAACGGGAGATTTGCATCATGGATGTGCAGCCAACTGCATGATGCTATCATGTCAATATGGACCACAATCTATGAGGTTTATTTCCAGTACCTTGTTGAATCTTTAGCCACAAGCGTTAAGGAAGTTCTGAAACCAAAATTGAGTCCAACCCGATACTAGTTGTACCTAATAAAGTGGCTGGTGAGTGTATACAAATCTAGATGGTAGATGCTTGTTCCCCCTTTTTCTACATTTTGTTTTAAGGTCTTTTGAGGTAGACCTGAACTGAAAGTGTCTCGTGACCCTTTAGGAAATGGAAAATGACTGAAACAAGTTTCCTGTTATTCAACATATCCACAAATTGTTAGGATTTCTTTTTTAAATGAAACATAAACAGTTGTCATGCAACAAAGCAATCTGTTCTATGCTGATTGCTCTGTCCACTGCAGCCTTTTTCGGTGAGCCATAATGGCCAGACAGCACAATCAAAAGCCGACACTAAACTGTTGAGACAGGTCAAGGTTTTTCATTTCAAAGCCATCAGGGTATTGAGATTGACATGACCTTTGCCGTGGCCCTCCTCTCCCTGCCTCTCGCCTCGCTCCTCGTCGTAATTGGTTTACTTGCGAGCGTGGCGGAGAGTGATGTCAGTACTATGACAGAGCAAGGCGTTGAGGAGACATCAAACAGACAAACAGATCTCTCTACCTTCAGATGTACTTCCATTTCCTCTCTCTCCCTCAGCATTACTTCCGTTTGGTGGACGGAAAAATCTAGCAACCCTTAAAAAGTACATGCACACTTTAAAAAATTATATTTAATATGTATCTTAAGTGTGTCTATAGCTTTTGAGGTACACAAACTAATTGTCAAAATCAAACGTTCTTGTATTAGCTACAATAAATTGCTTCACAAACCAATGGATGTGTGCCACACTGCCCATCTGCCAGTCAAAGCCAGACAGGAAGTCACCCTTGCCAGGACTTCTCTGTTTGGAGCCAGAGGCAGCACGGATGGGGACGGACATTGTGGCGAGCACACAGCCGGGTTCCTTTTCCATCTCCGTCATTAGCCTGCGAGGTATTCCGGCGAGACGAGAGGAAATGAAGGAGCTGGATGTTTGCACTTCCACCTGAGGATGTTGGTGGAAATTAAACCGAGCAGTGGTACGAGCTGTGGCCGAGAATACAGATAAATGAGACTCACTGAGACTCATGTGTTATTCACATTGAAATGCAATGGAATTTACTTGTGCTTGAAATCCATTTTACTTTCGCAGTGTGACATCTTTTTGTACTTCTGTTGTTTTTTAGGTAGTATTTTTATATTAGCTTTCATGTGGTTGGTAATGTCACTGTTTGTAAATGTAAAACATCTGGAAGGTTTTAGAAATCTGAGCTTCCGTAAAGAAACAAACAGTAATTCTAGACTCTTTCCTAGATCTATTCCTGAAAAGACAATCTGCAATTCCTGTTTTATTCAAACCAGGAATGCAATTTTTACCAAGGAAGGGTCACACATCCATGTATCCCTCCAGCAGATCTAGTCTCCATTACACACCTTTCTTCTAAAACCAAGGGACTGAGTATTTAGTTTTCAAACATATGTTACTAGCTGTTACTCTCACCTCCCTTGAGCATCATTCCCATCCGGGTCACGGCACCAATTAAACCCACAAGTAACTTTTGTGAGCAGGATTTGAATGGGCTTTTCCTGCACTGCACTTTGGTTCTTTAATATGGATTGACTTCATTGGCACCTTCAAGTTTCAGCCACAAGCGTGCATCTTAAGGCTAGGGGAACAAGGTTTGCTGGCACAGCTAATACTAACTGGCCTCTGTTACATATGAAATGTGTATTTGTTTAGCAGTGCAAAAAATGGCCTCCTTTCTTTAAAGACCTAAACCTCTTGTAGGCCTTAGCTAACATCAAGGCATATGAGGATCAAAATAGGCAGCATTATTAAGCAACCAATGACAGCAATATACTGCATTATGCAAATTAGTTGCATAGGTTAATGCAAGAAAACCAACATAGGCTCTTTCAGAAAATGTGCCACCATATACATTTCTGGAGAGTGCCAAATACATCCCAGGAGGCAATCGTTTTTTGCAGTTTTTGTTTTTGTTAATCTACAAGAGGCCACTGTGTACACTTTTGAAGATCTCAAATTTCTCTCAAGAGTGCCATTTGAGCCTGCTCTTCTTGTGTAAATCCACCAGAGACCGCTGTCGACTAACTGACTGACTGACTGATCCACCCCTCTCCATGCCTAAAAACAACCGAAAGTTTTAAAAAGCAGTATTAAAAAGCAATCCAGAAAAAAAAGCCTTCGCCTGATTTTTACGTTTTCCAATTTTACCACATTCTCACCCTGTTATTTACTAGTTTCATTTATTTTTTGGCTTCTGTTTTTGTCTTTTGTCCCTTTTTCTGGAACTGTTGTTTACCAGACACAAACCCGGTCATCGTGATCAACTTCTCGCTGCGTTTCGAGTCGACCGACATACATGGCGAGTTACTGGACACACTGGTAACAGCTAAAAAAGCCATCCATATGGAGGCAAGCGGTCAGGTGGTAAGCGCAAAACAGGAACGGCATCATACCGTCCCGTAGATTTCGTCTTAAAGATGAAATTTAGCCATTTATGCTTATAAATTATGTCTATTTTGACCCTCACATGCCTTGATGTTAGCTAAGGGCTGAAAGAGGTTGGTTTAGGTCTTTTTTTTTTTTTTTAAATACAAATACACATTTCATATGTAACAGAGGCCAGTGAGTATCAAATGTGCAAGTAAACCTCATTCTCTCTGTTTGGAGCCAGAGGCAGCACGGATGGGGACGGACATTGTGGCGAGCACACAGCCGGGTTCCTTTTCCATCTCCGTCATTAGCCTGCGAGGTATTCCGGCGAGACAAGAGGAAATGAAGGAGCTGTTTTTGTCTTTTTTCCCTTTTTCTGGAACTGTTTTTTACCAGACACAAACCCGGTCATCGTGATCAACTTCTCGCTACGTTTCGAGTCGACCGACATACATGGCGAGTTACTGGACACACTGGTAACAGCTAAAAAAGCCATCCATATGGAGGTTAGCGGTCAGGTGGTAAGCGCAAAACAGGAACGGCATCATACCGTCCCGTAGATTTCGTCTTAAAGATGAAATTTAGCCGTTTATGCTTATAAATTATGTCTATTTTGACCCTCACATGCCTTGATGTTAGCTAAGGGCTGAAAGAGGTTGGTTTAGCTTTTCTTTTTTTTTTTTAATACAAATACACATTTCATATGTAACAGAGGCCAGTGAGTATCAAATGTGCAAGTAAACCTCATTCACGTGGCCTTAAGATGCACACTAGTGGTTGAATCTTGAAGATGCCATTGAAGTTGATTCAAATTAACATACCAAACTGCAGTGCAGGAAAAACTCATTTATATCCTGCTCACAAAAGTAACTTGGGGGTTGTTTTTGGTGCCGTGACCCGGATGGGAATGATGCTTAAAAGAGAATAGAGTAGTAGAGAGCAGCTAGTAAGAAAAAATAAAAAACTAAATACTCACTTCCTTGGTCTTAGAAGAACGGTGTGCAATGGAGACCAGATCTGCTGGAGGGGTACATGGAAGTGACCCTTCCTTGGTAAAAACTGCATTGCTTTACTGTGGGCCCCTTGGGTCCTTATGTATTCCATTCCCCTTTTGCCCTCGCTTACTATGCCCTTGATTGGCATGTCCGCTTCCCATCCCAGATATGCCAGTTCTAATCATGCTTCAAGCATGGTAAAAAGACCCAGAGGGTTACATTAGTGCCATAAAGGAACTGGGTTTTAAGATAGGTATGTGTAATAGAGACCAGAAAGTAGAAGTGTGAGTAAATCTAACCCTCTCTGGCCTAAAAAGGTGTACTAATGACTGATGTCAAAGAAATGTGGTCTTTAGTTAGAGCCCCCTTCTCCCAAATTGTCAGTTCAAATCCCACTATTTGAGCTAGAGAGAAAGCCACCAGAGGTCAGATTGAGATATAGTATTGGACTTTACATCTTCAACATGCACTGTAAGTGGTCAATCGATCACTACACTACACATGTGCTCAATCAGAGCAGACTATGCTCTCGGAAATGAGGTTCAAAAAGATCAGCTCCAATGTGTAATATAAGAAAGTTTTAAACCTTAAAGTGTGTGTGACACAACATTTACAATGTTTATTTTGCTAGCGTACATTGTTATTCTTTAGGTAAACAGTTCATCAGTTATACTAAAAAAAAAAAAGGTTTGTTTTGGAGTCCATTTGGAGTGGCGGTCCATCTATGTTGACAGCTTCAGGCACAATATTTTTAACCACACCCCTTTTTTTGTTAGTTTGCAACAAGGGAATTATACGCAAAATGAAAGCCCCGCCCCCTACCCAATATTTCGTTGCTGTTGGAAGTACATCAAAATGCTGAAATAAAAGTCTCAGCAACTTCCACTTCACTTTGGACTTTAAATGGAGGTGAAACCCATTGCAGGAGACCTCAAAAGCATAAACGACAACATTTTTAAAACTTGCAAAATAACAGTATGACTGACAACGATGCCACCATCCTGAAAACACTGCCAAACATCAGATCCTACTGCAATGCAATTATCTCGAAATCAAGATATTACGAGCAAGCAGATGGATAAATCTATATTCATGGCATTACGCGGTCCATCCTGCGCCGCCTAAATGAACGGTAATGGATGGCTCTGGCAGAAAGGCATCAAACTGGGGACTGGTGAGGCCCAGAGGTGCTGGCGCCGGAGCCAAGTGACTGGATTAGATGCGATGCTCTTGTGTACATATAGCCATCTGCCTCATGGGCTCATTGAAAGGCGATGTGTGTTGTGTCCTTTCTGTAGACTGTGACAGGTTCAGTGCTCTCATCTTGTCATATTTGTCGAGGCTGGTCTAGTGGCGGTCACGATTTATCGGGAAATTTGTAAAGCTTCAGTCTAAGGTTTTGCTTTCTTACAGATCGATGTGTTTGGTGCTGACAAGGGTGATGTTTAGATACAAGTTGATTAATCACCCAAGTATAATACATAATAAACGATACTAAAGTACTATTGCACACTGCTAAACACAACAACGGGAAGAGCAACCATAATAAAACAAACAAACAAATAAAACAAATAAATTAAGCAATAATAGTAGTTGTTGCAAAAACAACTTAGTAGTAGTAGTAAAGTGTTTTATTATTATTATTATTATTATTATTATTATTATTATTATTATTATTATTATTATTATCATTATTATTATTGGTATTATTATAAATAGTATAACATTATTACAATATAACATTTTATTTGGGCTCTGATAACCCAGTAATAATATTATTGATACGTTTTTCTGTTTTATGTTTTTATACACCAAAACTAATTTGTTAATATTTATACTTTGCTGTTTTTATTGTTGATATGCTGATATAATAATAATAATAATAATAATAATAATAATAATAATAATAATAATAATAATAATAATAATAATATTCAATTAAATGAAAAGAAAAACATTATTTTTTATTATCAGTAAAGGAACAATACCAACAGCATAAAAATAATAATTATAAATAGTTTTACTGTAAAAAGAAAGTTTTACTTATTTTAAAACAAATAAATTATATGATTACTTAGTAATCAAAACTCAAATACATGTAAAAAATAATAATATCTAATTAAATCCTTAATCAGTAAAGAAACAATACCAACAGTATAATAATAATAATAATAATAATAATAATAATAATAATAATAATAATAATAATAATACATAGTTAAAATAGTTAAAATGCTAATTTTAAAACTAATAAATTGTATTATTACATATACCTTTACTACTTAATATTAATAATAATTAAATGAAAAAATATAAAAACATTATTATTTTACATTATTATTATTATTATTATTATTATTATTATTATTATCAGAAAAGGTAGAACACCAACAACATACTATTATTGTTAAATAGTACTTAAAACAGGTGAAATAATAATAATAATAACAACAATAATAATAACCAACTAACTCCTTAATAATAATAATAATAATAATAATAATAATAATAATAATAATAATAATAATAATAATAATAACAATAATACATTTACATTTAGTCATTTAGCAGACGCTTTTATCCAAAGCGACTTACAAATGAGGACAAGGAAGCAATTTACACAACTAAGAGCAACAATGAATAAGTGCTATAATAATAATAATAACCAAGTAACTCCTTAATAATAATATTAATAATAATAATAATAATAATAATAATAATAATAATAATAATAATAATAATAATTATTATTATTATTATTATTATTATTATTATTTATCAGTTATCAGAACTCAAACATATGTAAAACAATAATATCCAATTAAATCCTTAATAATAATAATAATAATAATAATAATAATAATAATAATAATAATAATAATAATAGTAATAATAATAATAATAATAATAATAATAATAATAATAACAACAACAACAATAACAATAATATTATAATTGTAATAATTATAATAATAACAATTATACTGATTTTAATAATTGTTTTTGTTGTTATTTTTATAATTATCACACACCTGCATCGATTCTGTGAGAAAAATTTGTACAACTGATCTGGTAACTGTTTACACACTTTTTTTAAAAAAAATAATTTAAACGGTATCTCCAAAGGGAATTATTGATAAATGCGAGGCATATCTGTTTCATGCAGGAGTTTCTGAAACTCAGCCCTTCTTTTGAAGTGATTGCGGCAACGTTTCCTCTGCAACCTCTTAACCTATAATCACCAGCTTTTTTTGCTGCAAGAGGCCATTTCAAAGCCTTTACCAGCATTACGAAAAATAAATGATAGATGTCCTTTCCTAATGCCTTGTTATTCTGGGTGATCCCTGTAGTCGACACGGGCCACGCAGGATGCGGGAAGCACAGGAGGGTTCAATTGCCCCTGGAATATCACATGGATAAAACCAATCGGCTATGTTTGGAACAAAAGAAAAATAGATGAAGCTACAGATCTCTGGGAATCCAGAGAAAATGGGCTTTCTGGGCTTTCATCCTTGACAGCGAGGAGAGAGAAAGAGAGAGAGAGAGGAAAGCAAACATCTCTAGCATGTTTTTCTAGCATCCAGCGTGTGTCAACAGATGCTTCATCCGTGTCCTGTTCTCCTGTCTGTTTAAAAGGTCTGATCTTCTGTTTGTTTGTCATGATCCTGCACAATCTTTAAGAAGTTTTGTGATATAGGTCATAGATACTTGAAAATGCACTTTTTCATATATATTTTAGGAGAAAGTGATTAAAAAGTCAACATTAAAGATAAAGTTCAGTAAAAATGTAAAAAAAACAAAACTGAAAAAATTGATGAAGTTGATAAAGTGATGTATATTTAAAACTTATATATTTCTCAAACGACTTCAAAGTATACTCTCACACACACAATCACACACAGACATTCTCCTACTCTCTCTGTTTAAGGACATTTTTACTGCCATTTAACAAATAAATATATAAATAAGTGACTAAATAAAAATATTTAGTCGCTGATTTATGTATTTTATTATAGTAAATAATTAAATAAAAAGGTAAATTAATACTCAGTTGTAATTCTACCATATTATGAAACATAATGTTCATGCACTGACACACACAAAAACAATAAATGAATTAACAATATAAACAAAATTATAATAATATTATAATCATCATCATTATTATTATTATTATTGTTATTATTATTATTAGTAGTAGTAGTAGTAGTAGTAGTAGTAGTAGTATTGTTGTTATTAATAATATAATATAAAAGTTAAATAATTAAATTAAATATAAAATAAAATAAATTATTACTCAGTTGTGATTTTATATTATATTATTAAATAAATAAAACATAAATCAACAACAACAACAACAACATACTGTTCATGTACTTCATGTTCATGTACACACTAAAGTCAATAAATAAACAAATATAAATGATAAACAATATTATTAATATTGTTGTTGTTGTTGTTGTTGTTGTTGTTATACAAAAAAAAATTAAATGAAATGTAAAATTAAACAAAACAATAATTCTATATCATATTATGAAAATAAATAAGGGTGAAGCAGTGGCGCAGGTAGTGCTGTCGCCTTACAGCAAGAAGGTTGCTAGGTCGCTGGTTCGAACCTCGGCTCAGTTGGCATTTCTGTGAGGAGTTTGCATGTTATTTGCATGTTAAAAGTAAATAAATAACATTTAAAACTAATAATAGTAATAATAATAATTATATAAAAAATTTAAATATTTAAATTAAATGTAAAATAAAATAAAACAAAATAATATTCAGTCGTAATTCTATATCATATTATGAAATGAATAACTACATAATAAATAAATAAATAAATAAATAAATAAATAAATACATACATACATACATACATACATACATACATACATACATACATACATACATACATACATACATGCATAAATAAATAAAACAAAAAAAAACTGTGCATGCACTGATACACACTAAAGCCAATAAATAACTAAGCGTAAATAAATAAACAACATTAATATTATTATTATTATTATTATTATTGTTGTTGTTGTTGTTATTATTATTATTATTATTATTGGTAATATTATTATTATTATTATTATTATATAATGTATCAATAATATACATAGCATATATTTAAATAAAATATATTAACATATGTACAGTAACAAACAGCACTATTTGAACTCTTGTAGTACAACTTTGTGACATAAATGATCATGATGTGTCCAGTGTCCACCAACCGCGACCCATCCATCTTCTATCAAAGCTACACTCTGACAACTAAAACCTCCATGAAACATAATCTTTTTTTTTTCTCCTGTTGCTTTACTATCTCCCAACTCCGGCCATCATCTGTATTACTGTTATGACATTGTAAAGCTAACTTTGAAAGATATAGTGCTCGAGCTGTCATAAATCCCCTCCAAAAAAAAAGATTTTTAAAAAGTCAATGTTCCTTTCGCCCTTGGCTGGCATTTCTATAGCACTGTTTTACTCTTTCTCAATCATGTCATTGTGACTATAATTCAGTCAATGGTGAAGTTTCATGGTCAGTCAGCAATTGAAAGAGTCAATGTGAATATACTGCATTTAAAAAATGGTGAAAAGAAAAATTTAATACTTTGTTAAAATAATTCTTACTTTCTAGGTGACCTTTAAAATTATATGATTTTTATTTATTTATTTTATTCAAGAAACATCCAATATTTAGAGGCAAAAATACAGAAATTAATTGATCAGGATTGCAAAACCATCAACAAAAAAGAGTGGATGTGAATAATTGTGTTTTCAAAAAGTTTGCTAAAATAAAGGCTATTATTTATTTAATTTACTCATGACTATTTAGGGGCAAAACTACAGCTTTTACTTGATGAGGATTGAACAAAACATCAAGAAACTACAGTATGTACTGTATAGTAAATGAACGAACGAACGAACGAACGAACGAACGAGCGAGCGAGCGAGTGAGTGAGTGAATAAAAGAATGAATGAGTGAAGGAATGAATGAATGAATGAACAAACAAAAGCATTAATGATTAAGTGAGTTAATGAATAAATAAATTAATGAAGGATGGAAGAAAGAAAGAAAGAAAGAAAGAAAGAAAGAAAGAAAGAAAGAAAGAAAGAAAGAAAGAAAGAAAGAAAGAAAGAAAGAAAGAAAGGAAAAATTAAGGAAACACGAGTGAAACAATGAATAAACAAATAAATTTTTAAAAATTAATGATTAAGTGAGTGAATGAACGAATGAACAAACAAATAAATGTAAAAGTGAGAAACAAACGATCAAATGAACAAACAAATGAACTAAATAAATAATTAAGTGAGGGAGTGAGTGAATGAATGAATGAATCCATTAATTAATTAATTAACAAATTAACTAGTGAGTGAATGAATGAATAAACAAACAAATAATCAAATTAATGAGTGAGTGAGTGAGTGAGTGAGTGAGTGAGTGATTGATTGATTGAATGAATGAATAAATGAATGAAGGAACAAATTAACAAGTGAATGAATGAATAAATGAACGAATGAATGAATGAATGAATGAGTGATTAAATGAATGAATGAATGAATGAATGAATGAATGAATGATTAAGTGGGTAAGTGATTGAATGAATAAATTCTAAAGTATTTAAAATTGGA